GATCTGAGGTTGGACCCTTGTCTAGCTTCTCCGCCAGACTGGCATCCCGTGCTGTGAGTTATGTCCGATAAATTGAGGATGGTCAAGAGGGTGTGCGTATGGGTACCTAATTTTCTTGTAGAAGCACAAGCAGTACCGATTCCACGCCTGTAGCAGTAATATTTCCCGCATGTCATTTACGACTATGAAAACGCACCCCGGCTCTAGATGAAATATCCTGAACTCCATGAAGAAACCCACAGGGACGATTTCGTATAAATGCAGATGAGAAGCCGCCCAAACTCTGCCGTGAGGAGTTGCGGGGTACATACATATTGCCTGTCCCTCAACAATCAGGTCGACAAATGGATGGTACCACACAACTACAAGGAACTGCCATTGCTCGCCACAGTGGCAGACCCCGAGTAACTGTATTATAGGGCAGTGCTGGGACACAAACAATACTGAGACCTGGGTTCAATTCGCCCAACATGAAGCCGTTCGATTCCAACTGTTCTGGTCAGTCGAGGGTACTCTCCGACGGCAAACGCTACAATGTTTTGTCATTCGCCGAAATTGGCATCAACAGCAATTTACTTGCATTTATTAGAAAAACAAGGCACTAGAGATCCTAACGCTCTCAGGGCACTGGCAGCGGGTCATTGGTGAAGGAGGGATCTACTTCAACTCAAAGCCAGAATATTACTTTTTATCTGGTTTCCTCTTCGTTTTATATGGATAAAATCTTCCGCCCTTTCGAATGTGATGACCTAATAATTGGGAAGACTATGCCAAAAGTGTCGATTTTGCCGAAAAACACCCCTCCTTGAGCGCTTGAGAACTGATGAGAATAGAATCATGTCAAAGGACACTATTTTGCAGGACGAGAATCCTCTACGGAATAGTTCGTAAGTCAAACGTCACGGGTGTCATTTTCGACGAAATTTTCACTGAGACAAAAACGGTATTACTTGCAACTATCCTAAAATATCCCGAAACATTCGCTACAGAGTTGCCTGCAGCAGAAAGGTTTGAGTGGGTGGAGCCAAAGGAGGCTCTCGGGTGGAGCCTAAAGGAGGCCCCTGCATGTGAGCAGCAGAAGAAAAAAAGCAGCTAATACACAAGCACAAATTACAGCAGAAGCTGCCTAAGTGTGTCCCAGTAGCGGATATCCAATAACAGAAGGGCATATTCGGAGCGATCACTATGTACAGCTGTCTGTAGAGTAGTGCTGAGACCCAAGATTCGCGAGTGTTGAGACCAAAGAATACCGAGAGAATGCGCTTCTGCATGCAAGGCTACTATGTACTGAGTTGGTCATGAGTCATGGCATTTTCCCTCACTCGAAATGTTGCGCTAAAGAGGGAAAGTTTTATCATTGAGTTTTGCAGAGAATTCCTAGCGCTATACGATAGTCTCCTCAGTTTTTTCCGGAGTTTCTCTTTCCACTAACGTTCAAGTGCTCAAACTGGAGTGTCAGGTCGACGATATTGAACGTTTTCGACAGCCACTCTTTTTCACCTCTGCTTAAAAAACGTAAACACCGCGCAGGACCAGTTGCTAAATGAAATTTGTTTGTCTGTCCGGAAATTCGGTTCGACCTGAAGAACGACTTGGAGAGGTCGGGTCAAGGTGGGGATGGGTAGGGCATGGGACAAGAAATAAAAAGCACACTTGACCTATGGGAAGCCCGCCCACAGTGGGCGGGCACCGAAAGTTTGGGGTTCCAGAAAAATGTTCATAATTCGCTTCCGGAGCAGCTTAAAGATGGGGAAAAAAGGGAATAAGGTTAGTAAGGAGTCGCCAGACTAACTGTGGCAGACACATCCAAAATGGGCGGGGCGTACTCAAGGTGGGCGGTGCTTCTCGCAAAATTCAGTAACCCGGTTCGCGAGAGTGTTTGGAAGTCGCAAAAAACTCAGTGTAGAATGTAAATATCCGGCGAATATAGGGCACGCTCAAAGTGTGTTGAGACCCGCCCACAGTGGGTGCCCTAAATCGCAGGGTATTCATTTTAAAAGTTTGTAGCTCGGTTCCAGAACACTCCAGATACCGGAAAAAGTGGATTAAGTTCAGCAGAGGGTCGTCGGTTAAGATTGTGGGGCAAAAAAAATTGTGGGCGGAGCCTGCTCCGAGGTGGGCGGAGCCAGACGAAAATTCTCTAAAACTGTCCCAGAGCACTTCAAAGACCGGAAAAAAACGTGGATTAAGGTCAGCAGAGGGTCGCCGGTGAGGATTGTGGGCAAAAACATTGTGGGCGGAGCCTGCTCCGAGGTGGGCGGAGCCAGACAAAAGGTCTGTAAAACGGTTCCAGAGCACTCCGAAGACCGGAATAAAGTGAATTCAGGTCAGCAAGGGGTCGCCGATTGAGAAATGTGGGGGACATATTGTGGGCGGGCCAGACGAAAAATCTGTAAAATAGTTTCAGAGCACTCCAGACACCGGAAAAAAGGGATTGAGGTCAGCAGAGGGTCGCCGGTGAAGATTGTAGGGCACAAACATTGTGGGCGGGAGCCTGCGAGGTGGGCGGAGTCAGACGAAGAATCTGTAAAATAGCTCAAGAGTACTTCAGACACCGGAAAAAGTGGAGTACAGAACAAAAGGCGGATATCAGTTGAGTCTAGAAATATGTGAAAGAAAATACGCGCGGCGAAGCCGCGCCCGCCCGGCGCAGCCGGGCCGTATCAGAAGGAGGCACGCCGGCGTTAGCCGGCGAGCCGACTGGTAGTGGTATAACTGACTAAGAGATTTCAATTTCGACCTCTCAGACAAGCATCGAACCTAATATCGGCGACCTAATGGAAGCTTAACGTCACGACCATCTATGGCAAAATGTCTCATAAGCTAACATGGTATAATATGGCGAGGAATAACAAAACATCCAAGATCAGGCGATGATAGCACTATCACAGACTAGTTACCCAGCAATCATCCGCCTACCCAGATATCTCTTAGAAACAACGTGCTTGCTGGCTACTTTCAATTCTGGCTTTTATAATTGAGCCTTTAGTTTTTGAAACCTACGTCTTCGAATCGGTCTCCGAGTTCTCCCCGTTCGTTCCAATCAATGACAAACCTAATGAAAACATAGTTGGTAATGATCCGAGGATCAGTCGAGTGCAGCAACTTTGAAACTCTGAAGATAATCGGCTGAAGATTTGTCATCATTCCTGAGCAATTGCCTACACATCTTACCTTCGCATGTAATCCATTTCTCTTATTATGACTTCTGGATTGGTTGCAAAGTATTTGTGTAGAGAAGGCGGTGCAATGGAGTGGAAGTATCTGGACCATTGAATCTGGAAGCAATGTTCACCAATTGCTGAAAAAATTTCGGAGAGTGTTCATTTCTGGTCTGACGGCTTACATAATAGGCAGTGTTTACCCTTTACCGTCCCACTGTTCCGGAATCGAGCCGCTTTTTGACCGAGTTTTTATCTTGACAGATTCTTCTCGCATGTTGCGTGCTGGGGTGATTGGACCTGTCGGATGCGAATCGCATTTGCTCGGCCCGAAACTTTTGGCGCCTGCGCCCAAGCGCTCTTGATTGGGGCCTTTCGGTGCCGGCACCTGTAGCGCGAACGTAAGGAGGCTCAGCGAAGAACGGATGTGATATTTGTGTTCAGAAGGCCAAGCTATCCCAGAGAACAAAATTCAGCGAATTTGGCGATATGAGGGTAATTTGGCTCCTTCAAATTGAATGGAAGCGCTGGAAGGTTCCGTGACGAGCGATGAGAGACACTTGCAGCATCAGTGACAAATTCAATTACTGCCCCTAATGGCATTTCTCTTGAAATCAAAGTGCATCTGAGACTCAGTCATCTTGCTGATCCGTTGTGTTGTTAGTGAAATCTGATTATCCCTCATCCTTATATTTTCCAAATTCTTTTCAAATAATAAAACTGGCAATGAAGACTAGCTCAAACAAAATTTTGGCACTATTTCTTTACTGCAACAATCTTCCGAGAACAGGCGTGCTTTTCACAGACTTTTTTCTGCCTTCAGAATTGACTGAAAATTTGCTATATTTTTTAAATATTTTTACTTAGGCACAATGGTAAGTAGATTCCAACGGGACTATAACACCAACCTTATACTTAATTACTTAAAGACACATAGTACGCTCATACACATTGAGGGTGTATGAGACTATCAGCCCCCCAGATGTCGATGTGTCGTGGTCCCCCGCCCAAACATGCCCAGGAATGGAGATACAGGGCCGTGAAACACGCTAATTCTTCCATGCTCCGCCCACTGCCTTTTTACGGCGCAGATTCCCGCCGTTGATAACATCCGTTGCAAGCGCGCCTGTCGCGTGCGGCTCCTTGGCACTTTTGCAAGTCTTTTTAATTGCGCTCATCAAATACAAGCGAAAACGCGAATTTCCTGATTGCGCGATAAAAACATTGAGAGGATGCTACAAAATAACTGAGCAAAGAATGATGACGCAGAGCCGGTTAGTCAGAACCCTAAAAGCGACTTGTGCCATCTTCTTCTGCCACATCCTCGCGAGGCCACGTTTATTTTCCACGAAACATGAACATAAAAACTAAAAACGGCATACTCGTTAGTTTAATACAAGCAAGACGCAATTTCCTGATGCGAATAAAATTTAAGGTGTTGCTCATGCTTCAAAATCCATGTACAAGGAGATGAAGATGACACAGGGCTAGAAATGAGAACAACGATGTAAAACAAAACAAAAATGAAAAAATCAAGGAAAGGCAAATTAGATAAACTGGCCTGTAAATTTCTACGATCCGGCGCCAAAGCCATAGAAATACTTAGAACAAACGAGTGGGACGCTTGGGCTGTTTTTATTTTCATGTTTTGTGGGAATGCGCGGCCCTTGATGGATACTGCAGATGCAGCCGAGTTGCTCTCTGAGTTCTGCCCCTTGTCATCATCTTCTGCTCTTATTTTGTAGCACCTCCAATGTTATCCGCATCAGGAAATTGCGTTTTACTTGTATATGAGAGCGCAATTAAAGGAACTTGGCAAAGTGCCAAGGAGCCGCACGCGACACGCGCGCTTGCAACGGATGTTATCAACGGCGGGAATCTGCGCCGTAAAAAGGCAGTGGGGCGGAGCATGAAGTTATTACACGCTTTATTCGTTTATTCATAATCATAGTGTTCCACGGCCCTGTATCTCATTCCGGGCATTGTTTTGGTGCGGGGAAGACCACGACCACAAGACATCTGGGGGGCTGATAGTCTCATTACACTTCCAATGTGTATGAGACTGTACTATGTGTTCTATTAAGTTGAAAGGAATCGGGTCTTATAGTCACGCCGCGGCAGATTATACTATACCTCTTATGCGACAGGCGCTGGGAAAAAAAAAACCCTTTTCAAAAACAAATTGCCGCGCTTTGTCAGTCTGGCAGTATCTATCAGCAGCTGGTAGTTCCTCCCCCATATGTCCCTTTTTGAAATTTTTCATGTAACTTGCCAGTGAGAGTGATATCCTGCCTTTGGCCCATAGACCAGAGGCCAGGCACCAGTATATGGCTTTGTTTGGCATTAAAAGAGCAGGCACCCGTTCGGATGAGGACTGCAGTTCCCTTGCTCAAAGACAATACTCCGCGGCACGGCCATATTTTCAGGCACTGAGCGACAGAGCAAGGAGTGGTCTTGTACTGAAACCGTTCCTATTAGGTTGTTCGAAAAGCTCTGCGACACTTTGATTGAATTGCTCTAGAAAAACACCAAAAATCATTTTGGATGTTTTTATCCCTGATTAGTGAAGACTGTCTTCTGGGGTTCACATGGGTATATCATGACTTTGTGGAAGTTTTCAAAGTTTAAGAGTCCCTCCGAGATCGAGGTACTTGACATATCCCACATTATGAGTTCTTGTGTATGCTCTACTCCGCTTTGTAGTCGAACGCAGCAACACTTATTGTTAGTCTTGAGGATAAGGTCATCGTCTGTTCCATCGCGCACCAGGCTCGGTAGGTTTGCCATCAGCGCTTCTAGGCTGGACTTATTCAACTCGTAGTTAGGCAATGAATAGGTCGCCCACCAGCACAGAATGACGGCCCTTTACTCAAGCTTCTTGAGGCGCAGCCGAAGGTAACCACCAGTAAGTTGGCAACCTCTCTAGGCTCCACCTGACTGACAACTGCCATGCTTCTCCGCAAGTTATCGGAAAAATTTTTTGTGAAGGATGCCTCATGAGTTGGACCCGTCTGACAAGTCATACCGAATGACCGTGACTGAGTTTTCTTTTCCTTGTACACAGCGGAACTTTTGTGAGATCTTGTGGTTGGTAGCGAGTGTTGGAGTCCTTGCGTACATCATGCACATGTCCCTTGCAGGATCTCTCAAACAGATTGCTTAGCCAAAAACAGATGTGCATGGGATAAAGATTTCAGTGTGTTATTGGTGGGACTTCAAAGCGGTATCACTGGATACTAGCACCGTTGTAAGGACCACAGTCCACCTTAATCGACTTCAAAATATGGATGACGTCACGCTTGAATTCATTCAGAAATACTCAATTTTTCTCTACTACTCGGCAATGCGAAGACCGCATGTGGGGATCAGGCTATGCCGGTTATTTGACAAAGTCAACAGCCTTTAATTACCACCTCCTTTGGTCCTTATCGCATCCTTTAAAAGCAAAAATTTCCGGAATCGACCTCAACTCGAGAATGAGGTCCACCTCTTCTTTTTATCATAGTTGCCGTAGTTCTATGAGAATGGAAATGAGAAGCTGTGCAAAAGAAGGGCACTAGTCCTAGTCATCAACTGCGGTTACCTTGTAGATTGGAGATGTCTTTTAGTGACGGAAAATTTAGTCCGAAAAATTTGGTCAAAGTGTCGCATTCACTTTTCATACAACCTAATATTTCCCTTATCCCCATGCTGTACCTTGCATTTCATGTTGCATACAGATTGGATTAAGGCTTGGTGCACGTAATCATAAATTTCATTATAACTTATACACATATATTTCATCAGAATATGTACCATTTTCCCTCAATTCACCCTTTTCAAACTACACTCACTACTTTTCAGACCAAATTCACCACTTTAACCAGATCACTAACCAGACGCCACTGTGAACCCCGTCCCGGCAGACACGCCTTTTTGTCAGTGCGGATTTAGATGTTTAAGTTTTGTTTCATGACTTCTGTTTCTTAGATTTTTTAATCGTTTGCTGTTACCCACATGCACTTTGACTGAGAACCACTACACTTCGTCACTTGGCCGCCGCTTCGTCTCCGCCTAATCTTCAAAGAGCTTGCTGCGAATTTCGAATTTTTGTAACTTTTTCAATTTTAGTTTTCACATCCTCTCCTCACACAACGAAGTCACTCGTAGATGCGCTGCACATGACACTGGCAATTCAGGCCCTGCACCCTTGGCCACACCCACTTGCTTTTAACGGAATTTTGATATTTTTGCAGAATTTTTGCGCTTTTGGACTGCTGAGCCCCGCCCCTGTGTAAGGCTCCTTCCACTTCGAATAAGCCCCTAACCTTTTCAAAAATGTTGCAAATCGGCAGTATAGAGTCTCGGCTTGCATAGTAGGGTATTGCTGGTTAATTTGGAGCAGACTTAACCTGATTTATTTGATAGATGAGCCAGTTCGGGTGTCTTAAAGGTAGCGGTAATGACAGATTCTCTCCAGCTCAGCGAGGCTTCATTGAACGTAAGAGAATCGTTGAGCATCATACAGACGGACCGCATCAGCGAAACGGCACTGTTTCGTACCCAGTTCAAGGGATGCCGTCACAAGCAAGAGAAGCAAAGTATTCAGATAATCTCAATTTTTTTTACACGACTTCGTTGGTTACTAGCATTTGCTAAGGACATTCAGGAGATGTGAGTTACGGAACGTACACTGGGAATGCTCCCACTTTTAGTGGAGGTGGCAGATGAAAACGACTCTTCTAGCGCTTGAGCTTTTTACCCATCAGTTGAGATGCAGTGCCCTTTTCCATCAAGAAGTACAGGAATCAGAGCACATCATCGCTGGGATTCCCCATAGGGGCGGTCGTGTTCGATCGCTGGGAGGGGGGGGTGGCTTCTGAATCTTTTTTCATAGTTGATTTTTTGTTTGTGGACCCTATAAGGGTGAGTCGTTTTTGCCTTCTAAGGGAAAAATATGTGGCGATGGGGGAAGTCGAACCTAATTGTTGAGTTTTCGCGGTTGTTCCCGTTCCGTATGTGCTATATCATCCTCCTTCCCATCTTACCTACCATTTTCTTACATTTTCTCAACTTGCCACGAGTTCCTGCGGAACATCCTGAGAACTCCTTTACTTTACCCCAGAACTTGTCTGTCTAGCGTTCACGAGTCGACGAAAACCCCCATCTAATGATGTGCCCTGTTCGGAATACATGACTGTGACTTGATTTTATGTCCCATCAACGCAAAAACAGCATTCTTATGAAGGCTGAGGAATTTTCTCAATTGATTAGCAAGTTCACGGGACCCTTTATTGTACTAAATACTCGACAAGAGGTCACCAGGTTTACCACAATGAATATGTTCGAATATTTTGTTTGTGGCACATTCGTGGAATCGAGGGGCACATCCTTGGCTGGTTTTGCGTGGACAAAATTTTTTGCACATGATATCACAGGAAAACCTATCGAAAACACTAATGGTAAGAAGAAAGAGCATCGCTAGACGAGTTCATGCACAGAATTGTGGAAAATCATAAGGAAGCCAACACGTACAAGGAAGTCCAAAGTACACCGACAACACTAAATAAGGAAACATGAGAGCTGTCAGAAGTTTCCACGGTGATCATTTAGCAGTCATGCCTGAGATTTATAACTTAGAGCCATCTGCTCAGCCCGCGCAGAACAAGTGCAAATAACCTGAGGTGTAGAATGACTACTAACATTTCCCGATAGAAAGCACTTTGTGAATATCACCAGCTGAGGCTGAGCACTTTATAACGATATATTTTGAGTGATCGTAACGCGCATAGCGCAGGGGCTGTATAGCTCGGTTAAGTAATGTTGTGGTGGAGACGCTCCGAATGAGTATTCCACATATTCAGGTTACGTCGGGTCAGTCTGTTCTCTGCCTAAACATCGATGCTCTACGCTAGCAGAGGAAAAGATTAGGGATAGCATAAACAAAAGTCTACCCACCATGGGTGTCAGTTTTTCCATATCGGTAAGACGACAAAGATTGTACATCTTAGAAGGATTTTTCCGATCGTCTTCAGCCACCATAATTCGCGCAATCTTCGTTTCAAACTCCACTATTTTCGTCTACATCCTTCGTAATCTTTGAATTGTT